GGGGATCCCAAGCGGGCTCTGCACTGTCAGCACAGAGCCCGATGCAGGGCTTGAATTCATGAACTGTGACATCATGACCTGAACAGAAATCCAGAGTTGGATGCTTAACCGAAGGAGCAACCCAGGCGCCCCTGCCATTTCTAACTAGAAATGTACATGTACATTATGTATCTGTTTGCCTTAGGGCTGTATTTATTGATTGATAAACCTATTGACAATTTGTGTCTATTTAATTTGTAGTACATAAACTTAAGGTACAGGAAGGCAATTATTTTTCAAAAATGTTTATTTATTTTTGAGACAGAGGGAGACATGAAGGGGCAGAGAGAGAGGGAGACCCAGAATCGGAAGCAGGCTCCAGGCTCCGAGCTGACAGCACAGAGCTGGATATGGGGCTCGAGTTCATTAACTGCAAGATCATGACCTGCGCTGAAGTGAGATGCTTAACCGACTGAGCCACCCACCCACCCCGGCAGTTATTTTTGATTACGACACATAATGCTGTCACTTTGTTTTCACTGGTTTTGCGGGGTCTTTTATTCTGCTCTACCTCTAGTCAAAGTGGCCTTCATGAGATGGCCCAGAATCATTTCTTTTCTTTTCCCACCACCGTCTCCTCCTTGGAACCTGTCTTCCCACAGGGAAGGAAAAGTTCCACCACTCTCAAGTGGCTGAGTAGAATCACTATGTAACACTAATGCCTCTGAGCCTCAGAGCCCAAAGACAGGACTTAAGCGGCAAGCTACTCCAGGAGGGCCGTCCCTGCAAAAGTGGACCCATCAGGCAGCTGGCACGCTTATCTGGGGAAGGGTGACCAGAAAAGCAGATGATAAATGTCTATTAGCCTTTCTCACAGCAGGAACTTTTTCTAGAAATACTAGGGAGGCAGCACTGTGTGGTGACCACCGTGAACCCTGTCTTTGGGATCAGCAAACCTGAGTTCTTTTTTCTTCTTATTTTTTTAATGTTTATTTATTTTTTGAGAGCGGGGGAGGTGCAGAGAGAGAGAAGGACAGAGGATCCGAAGGAGGCTCTATGCTGTCCGCAGACAGCCTGATGTGGGGCTTGAACTCACGAACCGGGAGATCATGACCTGAACCAAAGTTGGACACTTAACCGACTGAGCCACCCAGGCGCCCCAGCAAACCTGAGTTCTACCTTTATGGATCTTCACGATTCTGGGCACATTGTTGGGACTTTCTCAGCCCTCATTTTCTTCCTTTTTAACATGGGAGAAATAAAAATAATACATGTTGTGTTGTGAAAGCAACAAAGCAGTGTTGTGCAAGTCAAATGAGATAATCTCTGGGCAAGGGTTTTATAAACTCCATATGGGAAATAATAACTATTAGGATTAATGTACGTGAATACATAAACTGGGTGAAGAATTCATATTTTTCACTGATTAGTACAGAGAATTATTTATTTATTTATTTGGAATCACTTTAATATGCTGCATACAATGGAATAGATTCAGAGTAAAGTTCTTTCTTTTATCTCTCTCTAGGCCCAGGGACACATACTTGTTATATACTCAGATATTGCTGATGGATGGAAAACAGATTTACCATAAATATTCCCAGCATACATATTTTGAAAATGTACAACCCAAACCTGCTATACTTCCTCCTAGTAGATCAGAATAATTTTTATTAATCAGGCCTTTGGGAGAATGGAGTAAATGAGTGCTACAAAATAGCACGTACGGACAACATGTATATAAAATTTATCTTGCCAGACACTATTGTATGAGCTTTGCTGATATGATCTCATTTACTCACAATAACACTAGTCAGGCATTTTATTATCCCCATTTTCAGGATAAGAACATTGAGGCACAGGAAATAGGACTTCCACGTTTTCCTAATAGAATAGATAGAATCTTGTGCGACCCTCTAATTTCTCCCATTGTCCTCTTTCTTTTTTTTTTTTTTTTCAGTTTATTTATTTTGAGAGCAAGACAGAGACCATATACACATGTGTGTGCAGGAAGGGAAAAGAGAGGATCCCAAGCAGCCTCTGAGCTATCAGTGAGCTCAATATGGGGGCTCAATCTTACCAACCAAACTGTGAGGGCATGACCTGAGCCCAGATCAAGAGTCTGACTCTGGGGCGCCTGGGTGGTTCAGTCGGTTAAGCGTCTGACTCTTGATTTCGGCTCAGGTTCTCTGAGTTCCTGCCCTGCATCGGGTTCCGGGCTGACAGTGTGGAGCCTGCTTGGGATTCTCTCTCTCCTCCTCTCTCCCTCTCTCTGTCCCTCCCCTGCTTGTGCTCTCTCCAAATAAGTAAGTATTAAAAAAAATAAAAAGAGTCTGGACTTGCATTTGGTTTTGGTTTGGGCTCTTCCTTCACCTCCACCCACAGTACTTCTCAGCAAGATGCTCCCCAGCTGGTAATGGCTGTGCCTCCCACACCGTCCCTTAAAGCACCCTGCCAGAACTGGGTCAAACAATTAAAATTTAAATAGCATCTCATTGTTTACGAACAATGGTTCGGAACTTTGAAATTTTCTTCACAGAGGACTAATTGAGGTGCTATTATATGTATACAACCTTGGTTTCTTCACAGAGGATTAACTGAGCTGCTATGATATGTATACAACCTTGGTTTCTCCCTCTTACCACCAGTGGGTTACCTAGGGATGTCGGAGTCTGTCTCCAGTGTGACCTCAGGAGAGCCAGCCAGGAACTTTGTTGTGGACAGAAGGAGCTGGAAGTCTCTAGAGCAGGGTCTGCCACAGAGTAGGTACTTAACCCATATTGGTTCAGTGAATGGGTATGCTCTTGATTTCCTTCTACCTCGTAGACATGACCTCTATAATTTACTACCCTCCTGATCTCTGAAGTGACGTTAGGAGGATGGTGCGTACTGATTAATGCCTTCACATGAACAGGTTCTAGCTTTTAAAACACTGATTTCATTAAGTCCCCTTTTATTTCCCGGGGCCCTTCTCTGTTCTCCACCCGCAATTCCGTGCTCTCCCCGCAGCTCATGAGACTTCCCCCGGGAGGAGAAAATGCGATGCGTTGGAAGCAGTTCTCACAGTGCCCTGGGCGGCTTTGAATGAGAGATTATCAGAGAAAACACGGGAACGCAGAGGAATAAAAATGAGCTCGCTGCGAGGGCCTCCAGCCTGGCAGTGTGGGGAGCGTATCCAGAAGCCCAGAGCCTTTGAGTCACCGGCAAGATCTGCCCTAGGTGAGCTCGCGGCACATCCGCGTTAGGACCGGGAGACACGCCTTCTTCTCGCCCAGACCTTGCAGATCCCCGCGGCTCGGCCGACCCAGGGGTGGTGCTACCAGTCCTGCCACCGGCAGTCCCGACGGGCAGGGGCCGGGGACCCATCCCGAGCCACAGGCTGGAGAGCGGGGAGCCGTCCCCATGAGTGGCGCCCGGTAGAGCGGATCCCGAGCGGCCGCTGGCGTGGACAAGCCCCGGGGCTCACGGGCTTGGGGAAGGGAAAGGCGATTTCTGAAACCCGACACCCGGCCCTCTTCGCGAGGAAACTTCGCCGGCTGGTGAGTTGGGCGAGCCGGGCTGTTCTTGCAGGAATGCGATCCCACCCAGTCCGGGTGTTCTCGGCGGCGGCGGGCCGGGGAAAAGGAAGTGAGACGTGGACGGGAGGCGGCAGGCCCCGAGAGGGGCGAGCCGAGCCTGCAGGGAATGCGCCCTGCGCGCGCCGGGGTCGGGCGCCAGCGCGCGGGTCTGCAGCCGCCGCGGGGACCCGGGGTCTCGGGGACACTCGAGGGGGCTGACCCTGGCTGTTCCCGTATCCGACAGCTGGCTAGGAGTGAACAAACAGCATCCCCTCCCCAAAAACACCCCGGGCACAGCAATGCCATTTTCTTTCCATTTGTAGCTCGAAACCAGCCAACATAATCATAATTGTAATCGTAATCATAACCATAATATGCTTAGAGTTTCATTGAAGGGGAAGTCATTTAGTGAGGCAAGCCAGGTAAGTGATAGGACATTTCCTTGCACTTCCTCAGGTGTAGGTGGCCGCAGAGAAATCAAAAGCAATTTCTGTCTTCCAGGTTTTGGCTCACTTATTTCCAAACCTGATCCAAGCGTGGCAGCTACTAGGGCGTGGGTGCTTGTTCAAGTGGTCACAGGACCTTGGCTTCCAAGAGTTTCCCACCCAACACAACATTATTTGATCATTCGAAAGCTGTTGAAGCAGGTGACTAGCGAAAGCTGGAGGCTGCATTCTTGGGGAAAAGCTGTGTTTGGTTAAAGTCACCACACCTGGAACATGTTTACTGGCTTTTTATTTCAAGAGCTAAAATTAAGAGTCTAAGGTTCCAGGTCATTGAAATGATACATTATTAAATTAAGTCCAAATTAATAAATGTCGTTCCAAGGTCATTAGCAACAAAATTATTATCTAAGGTAACAGTAGCTATGAATTTTTATTTAGTTCTATTTTGTTAAATGTGTGCCGTTCTTAATATTTAGTTACAGTCGTGCATATTCAGTGATATAAATAAATAGATATGTGCATGGTTGTATAGTGCTGAATTTGAGAAGTTAACAGAAAAGATGGACTTCAGCATTATAGCCTGGTGAATTCTCAAGTTATTATAAAGTCTACATTGTAGTATGAAGTGAGAGTCATGCTTGGCTTGTGCCGTTCCGCCTAAATAGTTATTTTTCATAGTTTCTCAGCACGATCCTCTACCCGGATGGGATCAGCCCTTCTTTACGGCAAGAGGAGATTCTTACGGATGACCAAAAAAGAGTGATCTTGACAGGTAGTTTAATATTAATAAGACTTTTCTGCTTAAGAACTGACTATGGCCTGCCATAAAATGTTACCATCAGTACTTTCGAAAGGAAGACAAAACATTTCAGATGAAACTGGATGAGCCTGTTCTGATAGTTGCCAAGAAGGGATAAAGGGAATCTGTCAAATGTAAGCAAATGACAACTCGCACCGACCATTTCTGGAATAGGCATATTTGACCTGATAGGGAAGGTAACCCTCGTAAATTGGTCTCAGCTCCTTGGCGCACGGGCTTTATTCTAACATGATCTGCTGGTTTCTGAATTGCTTTTCATTTATTTAACTGGTTTTTTTTTTTTTCTGGAAAAGTGGAATTTATGCCAAACTCCATGTGGTTTAGAACAGAAATCTGCTCTATTCCCACCCTCCTGACTCTGGGAAGTTTCATGTTAGGTTTTTGGTCTTTCAAATTAGTAGTACAGCATGAAACGTAGACCAACTTTTCACATAAAGCTCAGCTCACAATCAATCCAGTTTCTTGAGTTGATTCATCAGGGTCGGTTAACCAACTGAATACAGCTGTTAAGCAAGTAATTGTAATATCGAGATGAAGGAAAGAAAACAATTACAGTAGACAGGACAAACCAGGTGTTTCCCATGAAGAGAATGTCACTTTGTAGAGTTCGTGGCTAAAGGAGAATGTTTTTTTTTTAAAAAAATTTAATGTTTATTTACTTTTGAGAGAGAGAGAGACAGACAGAACGCGAGCAGGGGAGGGGCAGAGGGAGAGGGAGACACAGAATCTAAAGCAGGCTCCAGGCTCTGAGCTGTGGGCACAGAGCCGGATGCGGGGCTCAAACCCAAAAACCATGAGATCATGACCTGAGCTGATGTCCCATGCTTACCTGACTGAGCCACTCAGGCGCCCCTAAAGGAGAATGATTTTTTACTCATTATTAGGTGTAGCTAGAGATGAAGTTCATTATATGGTAGTAGGAAGTAGCAACATTACTAAGCATAATAAAAGCCTATTGTAAAACTCATAAATGGAGTTGAGAGTATTACTTAATTTGTTTCACACAATCATTATTCATGTTCTCCAAATATTAACCTTCTCTCATAGAATGAAGGAAACGTCTAGGTTACCAATAATGAGATTAAAGCTCTGTTTAACACATAATCAAGCAAATCTTTAATTAGTTGTCTTTTCTAACTAAAAAAACTGCTCAGTGTTTTAAGAAAAGGGATGGAAGTTTCTTATTCATTTATTTAACAGATATTTCTTCATGTCTAGCACTAGTCTGGGCTCTGTGTGGACGGGGTTGGACAAAGCAGACAAAAGCATCTTTGGCCCCACAGAGCTTGCCTTTCACTGGGGAAATAGAGAGTAAACACGATACACACCTGTAATATAAGATATAGTATATTATATCGAATACTATGTTGACTCTATTAGAGATAAGTGCTAGGAGAAAATACATAAAGCAGAGGAGGCATGCAGAAAATGTCAGTGGCATGGCCCAGTGAGTGTCGAAACTTTAGATCAGATGCCCAGGGACAGCCTTCCTGAGAAGATGATCTTTGAATATTGGCCTGAAGGCAGTCAGCAGGTGAACCATGTGGTTGTGAGCAGGAAGAGTTCTCCAGACAGAAAGGATAACTAGCAGGGGTTTGTGTGGCATCTTCCAGGAACCAAAGAAGCCTGCACACCTGGAGGAGGGGGAGGGGGTAGCAAGAGATGGGGGAGCGGCGATCACGGGGCCAGGTCACAGAGGGCTTTGAGAGTCCTAAGAGACATGTTAAGTTTTGATTTGTATTCTGGATGAGGTGGGAAGACACCATGATTTAGACATTGTCTATTGAAAATTCATTCAACAGATACTTAGCATACTCTGAGCCTTAGTATATTCTTCTAAGTCGGTGGATAATAGAGGTTAATATCATGGAAATTACATTCTTGCTTAGAGAGACAGACATGTAAGCCAATATACAAATTATCAATTATACAACTTTCAGTACTGTTTAAAAAATTTTAGTATCAAATAATGAGAATGACCTGGAGGGGTAGGAGAATGCTGTACGATTCAAAGGAAGCACCTCACAGGAGGCCATCTTTCTAAAAGATCTCCCTGGCCTCCTTGAAGAGAAGACACTGTAGGGCCAGCAGAGGAGAAGAGAGACCAGCCAGGAGGCTATTCCAGCAGATGACAGTGGCATAGATCAGAGTTGGAACAGTGGTCCTGGAGAGAAATAGATTCAGGAACTGTTTGAACGCAGAGCTAACAGGCCTTGCTGACAAATTGGATAAGGGATGGGATGAAGAAAAGGAAGGACCAAAATGATCACCAGACACTGGAGAGATGGTGAGGATGTTTCCTAAGGTGGATAATACTAAGTGAAATAACAAAACCCGAAGGGAAATGCAGAATTCCTTTTTAGCCTTTTGAGGTATGTTTGAGGCACCCATGTGGCAATGTCAGATTGGGCTTTTGGACATAGAATTTGGAGCACTTGGAGGAAGTCACAGCTGAACATAGACATTTGGCAACAAAGAATCTTTGGATGCTGGTTAGAGCCCTGGTCTTGAGCATATCACCTAAGGGCTGTGCTCTGGCTCATTCTCACACTGAGGGATCTTGAAGGAGCCAGTAAAAAACTCCCTCCTCCCCCAGAAAAGAGTATCATCATGGAACCCAAACCAGGAAGTGTTTCCAAAAAAAGGGAATGGTCACTTGTGTCAGATGTTGCTAAAATGCAGATTGTGATGAGGAGCAGAGAGTGATAATTGCCTGCGGCAATTTGGAATCACTGGTAACTTTGACAAAATAAGTCATTCGTATAAACTAACTTTAACAAATGCTGGAAAGAGCATTTCACTTAATCCCTAAAGAGAGACCACTAGGGAAACTTATGAGTCTCTAGCCAAATCAATTTTGAAAACTGGCTCATAGAACAGATGAACAAAGGAACATATAATTAGAAATGCTCACAAAGGTGTTGCATGAGCTGTAAACATAGTAAGAAGAAGAATAAAAACAGAGTGGGCTGAAGCCTGGGAAAATGCTGAGGAGAGCCAAAGATTCTAGCGTAATTTAGAGCAAAGCAGTGAATAAGGAAGTTAGTGGATGTGAGTGAAAGTAGAATTACTCAGTTTCTATTGTGCTTCCCTCTTCTTTCTACATAAAAGAAGATAGTGTTCCAAAATGGGAAGGAATTGACAACACCAAAAGAGAGTTAAAGTCAAAGGGTGTCGAGAAGTTATTGTGATCACAAGTAACTTCTTTAAATGGGAAAGAATAATGCTGGGATTGGTCAAGAAAACTTGTTTGAAGAAATTGTGTTTCAGTTGAAACAGAAGGATGTCTGGATGCCAGTCAGATGGACAGTTAAGAGAGAACAATCCAGTAAGAGCAAAAGCACCTGCTGAGTTCTTGACCTGGGTAAGAGTTTGGTGCATTCAGTAAGCTGATAGAGGGTTTAAATGGAAGGCAGGGGGTGGAGAGGGGCACAAGGTGAGGCTGGAGAGACCACTTGGGAAGTCATTGCAGAGACTGGATAAAACCAAAGAAGACCAGAGAATGTGCCACTTTAAGAATTATTTGTTGCAGAGATGGCCTATACTGGGAAGTTGAGCCAAATGACATTTATTACCCCTTGTATCTTATCCTTTATTTAATCATTTTTTCTAGTTTATTTATTATTTTGAGAGAGAGGGAGCCCTACGCAGTGCTCAAACCCATGAACCGTGATATCATGACCTGAGATGAAGCTAAGAGTTGGACACTTAACCAA